CTGTCATTAATTCTTCCTTTTTTTTTCCTTTCTTCCCCTCCTTGTCCCCTAGGTATTTCTTATTCCATTGAAAAGTCATGTGGTTCTCTTCGGTTATGCTTGCTCCTTTTGTTTTCATTCTAATTAAGTTGTTTGCTTTAGCCTTCCAGTCTTTGTCTGATGTAGCCCTAGTGGTTTGGTGGTTCTTAATCTTTCCAAGGAGCTGTAGTCTACATTGCCTTGCCTCTGAAGATCTCTGAGCAACCTGCTTTAGTTGAAGATGTCCCTGCTCATTGCAGGAGGGTTGGACTAGATGACCTTTAAAGGTCCTGTCCAACCCAAACCATTCCATGATTCTGTGATCTCCTTTGCTTAATCTATAGACGGGAATTCTTTCCACAAGGCTTTGTTCCCTGGATGCTGTATTTCATTACCTTGTTTCTAAGGAAATGTGGTTCTCTTTTGGCAGCTCTTTGAAAGATTCAGGGGAGCTCTGGCTTGATGCCTATCTACATAAATAAGCAGCAGTGGATCCTTGCAGAGGAATTTCCCACCCTTGTTGCCTCCTGTGGTGGTAACCATGAAGATACTGCACAGAGGAGAGAGCAATGGCTAAGCCAGAGGTGGGGAGGTGGCACAGCTTAATTCCATTGATGAATGTGATTAATAGGATTTTTTAAAAGATGTGTTCTTAATTATTCTTGTGCTTCTTTCATTCCTCTTCTCTGGTGCTGAGTTACGAGGAGGTTATGTTCCACCAAGCTGGAGGTGGCTTTGGGACTGGGAACAGATTCCTTTCTGTCTGCCGATACTTCATTTGCTGAGTATGTAGGAGGGAAGTCTCTTATCTAACATAGGCTTTTGTGAGGTGGCTCTCATTATGAATGTAGTAAGAAGGTTGCGACAGTGTGAAATCAAAGAACACGGGAGTTAGTGAAATGTGGAAGCAATAAGGAATTGTGTAGGTCCAGTATTTTCACATACCTCCATGTAATTAATGATGGCAATAGAATTGCCCAAACCAAGGGGCAATGGGGAGCACGTAAGAGCCCAAACCAATTTGTATGTATGTGGGTGAGGCGGAGAAGGTGCAGGCAGCAGTTCTGTAAGAAGAAGCATTGGGAAAAAGATCTAATTAGAGTCCTAATTGAGGTAGAGAAACAGGAAAGTGGAGGTTATTCTCCAGGCATGTAGATGTGAGAGTTCGTTATGCCATGTTCTGTGAGAATGCTGCCTTCCACATCTCCTCTGTGGTGAAGGCCTCTGGGTTATTTGCCCATTTGTAGCCTCCCATGGAGTCTCTGCAAGTGGTTTCCACAGTGCCAGACTTCTGAGTGTTATTGAACCCATTACTGAAGGTCGGAAAAGACAGAAATATGGCATGTCCATACTCAGGATCCCTACAAGGGGGACTAAGGGAGCAAAAGGGTAATCGGTCTGTGGTCACCTGAAGCTTCACTTTTTTTTTTTTTTTTTTTTTGAACCTCTGAACTGGTGAGTGACTTGTTAAGCAGAGAGAACTCGTGACTTCTGGCCTGTGGAGCACGAGGTGTTCCTATCTGAGTTGCGGACAAATTTAATGAAGTTGTAAAAGTGTCAGGGGTTGGGGTACTGTTTAAATGCATTTAACTTTTGAATTGGCAGAAGTCAGCGGGCTGCATACATCAGCCAAAACATTGCTGGTTTTTCTCTATTGGATGATGTGCCTTCAAAACACCCCCCAAGAGGGCACGTACCGTGTGATTTATTGGAATGTGAGTTAGCCTTACTGCACTTCCTGGTGTCTTTTAATTCATTACACCAATGTTACAGATGCCAAACCAGGATATAGCACTTGGCACAGCACTAATGAAGGTGGCTCCATCACCCTGTTAGCTCAGTGACGGGTGGCTTAGTCTCCAGAAGGGATGGGTTGATTTTGAGGAAGATATGGTGCTTTTTCTGATCAGCATCCAAAAAGAGGATGGCTTGTAAGGGAATGGACGAAATGCATCTTCCCAGGCCAAGAGTGTTGTTAAGCACAGAATAAAGTTGTAATGGAAATAATAAAATAATAATGAAATCATTGATTCCTGTTGATAAAGACCATAAAGAAAGTGGGCCTTAGTTACTCTTTCACCTTGTTGTTTCCTGCTCCATTTCTTTCCCTCTTATTATTAGAACTGTTGATGGAGGAAAGTCTAATAATAAAATTCCTTGTCTTATCAATTATTGCTGTCATGAGAGTAAAATATATGTGCGCAAGAGTCTGCATTCTCCAAAACGTGGAACAAATGCCTGTCCACAGCTGCAGAGAGAGAGAGAACTGTCATAAATCTCAGCATTTGTACTTCAGAGGAAGGGAATGGGCTTGTGTGAAGTATGCAGTATAAATAATTAAACAAAATTAATCCTACCAAAACAAAACCATACAGCGGTTCTTCCTTCAGAATGAGGAGGAAAAGGAAAAAAAGATCTACCCCTGACTTTGCATTACTTTGTATGTCGGAAGGTATGCATGTTTGATGAAATCAGGAGCTATTCTGTAATGTCTTAAATTCAACAGGCAGTAAGCTCTCAGATGGAACTTCAGTGGCACTGCCAAAAGTTCCCTCTGACCTTGGAGCGTTGCTCCTAAGCCACAAAGGGCCAGAAGTCTTGTGCTAGTCAGGAGAGCTGTTTAACATGTCAGCCCCATAAGGAGCTCCAATCCCCCAGGCTGGGCTCTTTGTACATATGGAGAAAGCTGGACAAGTGGGGAGCTGCCTAAGCTAGGTGAGAGAAAACACTGAAGACAAGGAAATCTTCAAAAATCCTCTAGAGACATTCCATCTCCCCAACTCAACTTTCACAATTCCAAATTTTGTCCATTGGATAAAACCACATAGACTGTCCTCGTAGCAAGAATGCTTCCATCTCATGTTTGAGCCATAATTGCCAGGTTTGTGAATAAAGTTTGGACATGCAAGTAGAATGGTTTCAACAGGCGAGAAAGGTCAGGATAGGTTATCAATCATCTCTGGTAAAAGAGGGAACGGCCTAAGCTTCTCTGGTTGCTGGGTACTAGTGCTCTAGTCATGAAGATACTATAAAAGTGCAAGTAGTTCCAGCATGGTCTGAAGGAAGACAGCTAGTCTTCAGCTCAGTTCATGAAGCTTTGAAAGTGCTTACCAGACGGATTGTGGCAAATGAGGTAAGTAGAAGAAACGCTGCTGGTAGGCAAGTGGGCCATAAGTGTTCAGTGATGTTGAAGTGCTTGGTGTTGCCCAGCAAGTGGCTTTTTTTTGAATGCCCAGAGTCAAAACATTCCTTATCTGGATGTTTAATTTTGAAAATTCAAATCAATTTGAGCTACCCCCTGGACTAGGATGATCTAGGAGTTAAGTTTTAAAGAGAATAATGTGTCCAGGTTCCACGCTGAGTTCTGCCTAAGACTTTGGAGACTCTTGAGTTTTCTGTGCCACAATAAAGAGGAAACAACCACAATGCAATAAACCAGTTGCCTGCGTAACCAGGAAAAACAACACATATGAACTGATTTACAGTCCTAGAGGGTAAGACTGAAAGGGGAACCAAATCAACATAAGCAGATCTGCTTATGCTGAGTTTGCTGGAAGTTCTCTGGGCATAAGGCAGCTCAGGGGGGGAAATAAGCCACATGACAGCTTCTGTTCCTGTGATTACTCTGGGCTGTTTACAGTCTACAGTGGCAGATTACCCTGAAACTTCTAGTACTGAAATTTTACAACAACATTCAAACGCAAGCCTAAAACCCCTTTCAGGTTCTCTGAACGTGCACTGGGATACACCTTTTTGGAACAACACTGGCCCCGAGTTTACCATTTGGTGGAAGCCCTTTGGCTTCACATTTCAGCCTTAAAACATGGAACCTGAGCATTGTGAAACAGCCACAGGGTGGCAGTCGGACATCAGAAGGGAAGGAGGACACCCAATCTCCCTGGGAACTGGAGCCTGGGTGTTTAAAGGCTCTGGTCTTGCTGTTACCCTGCTTTTCTGTTCACTTAAAGGATGTAAACATGAAATGAATGCACAGCTCAAAGCAACTTTTGGCTGATGTGAGAATGGAACTCCTCAAACTCAGTAACCTAAGCATTGTATCTACATCTCGCCCTCTGTAACAGGTAAGACTGAGTTAAAAAAATATTTTAGGAATAGCTTGTTGGGCCTTTTGCTTTTGGGTGTTTATTTTTGTTCAGCCTAAACACTAGGAAATTAGAAGTATGCTAAATACCTAGTGCAGATTTACTAAACATGAAAATTCATTCTCTGAAGATCTCTGCGGTGGATCAGATCATGAGGTAGGGGAGACTCATTAATCTGCTGCTGTTGGTAATTGCTCACAGCCAAGTGACCACGATGGTAATTCTGAAGTTGTGTGTGGCGTTCATATATCCTGTACAGACATGCTCTTTTTTCTGCCACGGTTGTGGCAAGTTAGGCAATGAAGTATGTGAGTTACATGCTGTAAGGAGAGATAATAGGACAATTGTTAAATAATAGAATAATTGTTAAAAAAACCCTGGCACTGGAGCAAAGCCTATTTAGGGATGAAGACAGAGCGCTTACACCCGAGGTGAAGCCTGTTGGTCTTCATCCTCTCCATGGGATTTGGATGTCGGGAGAGTATATAGCCCCCAAAGATGTTGAAAGGAGAACAAATTAATCAGGCATTTGCATGGGGTCTTAAAAACTGCAATCTGAGGTTCAGAAGGCTTTGAAAACTATCCAGTGAAGTGGAGTATTGTTGGACAAAGAGGTGGCTCAAGCCCAGGGTAAATTACTTTTTTCAAATCAGGGAGGAACATTTTCAGCAATGGAGTAGCTGGAATTATAAAAATGCTAAAACAGTGAAGGGTGATGGGGCAAATGGAAGAGGAAAATACTGCAGCTTTCCCCTTCCCAACAGGCACTCGTTTTGACTTGTTAATGATCTGGATTTGCAGTCCTTGTCTAGCCCATGTGTGCGTTTGCTTCCATTATCCTGAATCGCTGAAGAGGTGAACTGTGTTGTTTATGGAAATTTCTCCATCTTTAGTGAAGAGGAGAAACAAAGATGATTGTAGGTCCATAAGAGACAGATAATAGATGCAGCTGAGCTGCTTGGAAACAGGATGGTTTGTTGCTTCCCAAGATAGGTCCTTTTATAAGGAATATAAAGACATTTCTTAACAGGTCAGGTGTAGAAGGGTATTGTATTAATGCAACACTACTCATGGGTGGAGAAAGAGGCTTACATTACACTGGAAGAGAGTTCATTGGCATGAATGTGGTTTCGGTGCAATTTACATCTGCTACAGAGACTAATATTAAGTATTTGGAAAATGGGGAGGAATTTCTACAAGGAAAGTTTTGAAACAGCAATAAAAAATAATGCACCAGTGCATGCTTATATGAAAGGCTGATTACGATGGTGTCCTTTAGGCAAAATAGTTTGCTTCTGTGAGAAGCAACAGTTTTGTAGAGTCAGAGGATCAAATGACACAATGCTTTTTTTTCAGGAAAATTAGCTTATAAATATACA